CATAGGCTACCCAACTATTGCTTGAGAGAAAGAAAAGAATGAATGCGCACGCTTTTATTATATTATCGAATGGGCGCGCGCTTGGGTTACCTGTGGTATATTACGTCACGATCCCGTGCCTCGCGGGATACAAACTAGTCTGTGACAAGGTATGAAACACTGGTCACGTGATGGATCGATGTGTGCACCAGGTATCGTGTCCTCCCCTCCCTACCTTTTTTCATTCGTGAAGACTTCGCGACCAATCGTAAACGATCGTAAATAATCGTGAATTTCTCGAGGCGAAAAAAAATGTCAAGGATAAAGCTTTAAAATTCAATTTTCTTCAAAAAAAGGAAAAGAAACATACAGACAAGAAGCAAAATTAACAAAAAAACAAAACAATATGAAAAGTTTTCGAGGTTTTCTAGTTTCAAACGACTATATTAGCTATAGTTAATTGACTATCCATTTTGATAGTAAAACAATGAAAAGCTTTATAACAAAAACAAAGCTTTATTATCTCTAAGTACAAGAAATAGACATATTTTGAACAAGTTTATTATTCATAGATCTTAATTATCTTGGGAAACTAGTAACTTCTAAAAAATGTGCTTTGAAACCGCATCGCAAAAAAGTGGTTAGGTTGAGTTGAAACGACTCAATTCAACCGAAGAAGCATTTTCGGGTTTTCAAACATCAAAAATCTCTACATAAGAAAATTCATTATCTAAATAATCCGAAATAAAGCGGTGAAACGTAAGGTTTCATAAAATGTAAGCATGGAAAGTTCTCAAAACTGCCGGTGGTTTGCAAGAAAAAAAGCCGATAGATTTCATAGAAACGAAAGTGCTTGACATACCTCTCAAAGTATCAGGAAAAGATCTCTAGTTTCAACTAGTCCCTCATTCAAGAAAGCTTGCTTTAACTGCATATGGGCATAAATTTAGGTCTCAAGTAAAAATCCACGTAATAAGTTATGAACTTTTCTGCTCCATTTTTCGAGTTTTTGAAATGAGCAAGAGTCTTCAATAAGATCTTTGCCTTTAAAATAATTGTTCCTCACAATGTACTGTCTCATCTTTTGCATGAAGTCTCAAAGTTTCAGGATATTGGCATAAAGCTTCCCATCAAAAACTGAAAATCAGCGTAAAACCAACCAAGTAATTCAGGACACGAATCGGACACGAGCGAATGCACGGTAGCGGATGACCCTCGGAAAAATCTCGACTGTTTACGAAAGGCCTCGAAGTCTTCCCGAATGAAAAAAGGTAGGGAGGGGAGGACACGATACCTGGTGCACACATCGGTCCACGGCGASTAAAATGCTWAATTTTCATTTTCTCGTCATGTAATAAACATTTCACGCTGAAAATCGTGAGACAGTTAGGGAATCTGCCGATGTGTTGTTATTTGAAAGAAAATCGTCTTTTTCTGCTGATTTTCGGTGAAATATGAGCAAAATTATATTTGTCACGTGACCAGTGTTTCATACCTTGTCACAGACTAGTTTGTATCCCGCGAGGCGCGGGATCGTGACGTAAGGTAACCCGCAGCGCGCGCCGATTCGATAACATACCCGCGAGGCAAGGGATCAATGACGTAATACCACAGGAAACCCGCAGCGTGATGCAATTCGATAACATAATAGCATATAGGCAATTGGTATTTGCCATGCGCGGGATTTGTGTATTCTCATGGCAATTTCGGCGCCATCTTGTTTTGTGGAGGCTTTGCGAGTAGAATGTCAAGTTTTGAATGGAGATCAGAGGATAACTTGAATCCATTGGGAGATGAAACTCTTACATGTTAAACACTTCAAGAACACCTTTCAGTAGAGGATAACTAAACTACGATCAGCCCTTTCGTGAAAGAATAATATGGCTGTAAACTTTGCTGAACTCCAAAAATTTCGACAAAATGCTGTGTTCTAATCTGTCTGCAAAAATTTATTTACGCTTCAAATGAACAATATGACAATTGGAGGTAAGTCTTGATGAAGGTTTCTTTGAATGACAATTCAATCTTAGGACATTAATGCTTTGCAACACTGTGCAAATCGGTGTTTTTTTATGGGTAATAATTGCATTTTTTATAAAATTACTGAGGACAACACAGACGTATTCATTATTTTACAGGTCGACCCCAAAAGAAAATCTGAGCTAGACAGATGGTTTAATGTTTGTTTTTGAAGGTTAAGCAAGTTTTAAGGAAATGGCAAATCGTTTGAAGAGTGTACAGAGGGTATTTTTGCACCATACTCGACTAGCATGGAAATCCTTCGGTTTCATGGTGTTTTTCAAAGGGCTCCTACTCAAAGATCAATGGCTACAGAAGCACCATCTTCCATTGAAAGGTTGGTAATTATATGTAATTTGGAAAACCTGATTTGTTTTTACAAAAATTGCTTAGAACATGGTTTATTTTGGTAACAAAATCCGACAAAATTTTTTGCGTCGTTTTCTTGTTCTGACGTTCTTGCTCGAACAAAAACTTAAATATCTTTTTCAAATCATTTGACCCCAAAAAAAATAATTGTATCAGAAGAAAGCTTGTTTATCAATCTTTCTATAGGTTATAATTTTTTGGAATTAAAAAATCGTTTAGTACTGAATACGGACCAAACATTGAACACTACTCGTGATGTTGACCTGGCTGTTCTATTAACCTCCAGAGTTCTATTTTCACAAATAAAGCTTTCAGATTATAAATATAGCTCTAAGTTGAACTCCCGGTTGAACTACACTAAAGCATTTATCTGTAGCATTCAAAAATCATTTATTTCTTGTAAGAAACTTTTCATAAGCAGGAAAGTAAACCAAACACTGATGACAACATTTTTTTAATGCACTGAGGACAATTGTTTTCTTTACAAGTAGAATTTATAAATGATATCAGAGTCTAAGCTACTTCTTCAATTCCTATCCTTAAAGTGACACCATGTTAAAAGTGCACATGAAAACTGTAAAAACTCTAAAAATCCTTACCAAATCCGATGATAATGATGCAATCATAGCTCAAAGATAGTACATCATGTTGTCATCACTTAGCTCTGTTTTTTTTGTTGGTTAACATAATCTCAAAATACTCTGTTTGTTTATAGAATGGCTGTGTACCTGCAGCAGAACACATAAGTAATGAAATCTTCATTCTTATCTACTCTCTTATAAGTTATAGCATTTACAAAAAATGTAAAAAAAAACATGAAAGGTTAGTAACAAAAATTATAATTGTTAACTATTAACAACATTTTTTATTATAATTATCATTTCTGAAGAAAAGTTTAGGCATTAAGGCCAAGTACTGCCAGGTTAGCTCCTCTTCGTGGAAAGATATACTCATAAATGCTTCTAAGAAAAGGATGATAGTTCATAACAATATTTTTCTCTGGTATTTAGGGAGATGTGTAGAGGGCCAATCATTGGAACAATGGAGAGGAGTGTTGGCTGGAGGGAAAGATTAACAGATGGATTTAGCTGAGATTCGGCTGCTGAAGTGAAAGAGTAACAGGGATCAACATCTAATTGGCTTGTTGTGTCATTTGTTTGCTGGCCAAGTACTTCATCAGAACTGCTGAAATGCGCTTGACTACCAACAATTTTTTGTAGAGATGCATAGACAATTTGTCTGCAATAAAACTGGCATGGCCAGTCACCTGGTTGTAATAAAACAAACCTTCGCATATATTCAACTAAACCACTTCCTAGAATTTTGTCATAGGCTGCTTCAATGTCACTTTTGCATTTAAGTTTCAATTCCATAAAGTCAACAAGCTGAAGGTTTTCCATTTTTCTCATTTTGTGAACATCGTCATTGTCAAAATATTGATGAGTATTAAGGCGGTCCCTTTCAAGTTCAGGGTTGAAAAATGCAGTTCTAATTTAACCCTAAAGTCTTCCAACCCTTGATAGTGTTCTTTAGCTAGTTGATGTTCAATCGATGTAGCGGGAGTGCGATTTGTAATCGCAAGTTTGATTTCAGACCAAAATTGCACGACACGAAGTTCAATTATCACTTTATTGTATTCATTTTGAATTCCTAATAAAAAAGCCGAAATTTGTACTTAATACAGTGCTAATAAACAAATAACTGACTTTTAAAACCGGAACCGGAAAGTCTTTTACATCTCATTTACAATTCATAAACAAGTGACAAGTCATGTCACTTCACTTCGAGGAAAACCACGAACTTGACAAATTTCAAACGAGCAGTATGTGTTCAAGTTTTATTCCAGTTTGAGTCCTCATAAGGTTAAATTATGCAGGGCCTCTCTTTCGTCTGTCGTAAAGATGATCTAAGAATTGTTGCAGGATCTCTGGATTTTTACTATTTTAACGTGTTTATCGACAAATTTGCGTAAAGCTGTCATCGGAGATGCCATGTGATTTTGAGAATTTCCTCGCCCTCACAACCCTTACGTTGTTGCCTTTCTCCTTCAAAGAGCGGTCAAAGGGACTTTGTATGTGATTCTGATTGGTATTTGTCGACTTTTTGAATTCTTACTCTAGTATAAATTCTCTAATAAACATCATTTGAGCCCGTGTTTCCGTTGCCCTGCGAACGCATGCGCAGACCAAATGCCTATGTGCTTAACATAATATAGAAGCGTGCGCATTCGTTCTTTTCTTTCTCTCAAGCAATAGTTGGGTAGCCTATGACAGAGATAGCCCTGGCATTGGCCGGTCACGTGACACCCACTCTCAGTGGGTGTTTAGTGTGGATTACCGCTGAATGCAGGCGCTATTTGGTTTTGGAAAATGATAATGTTCGGAGCAACAATTAACTTAACTTTTTTCAACTTTTCAAAACATTCTGAAAAGCTAAYTTTCACACATTTTAATGCAATCTGGAAGATTCCCGCCAATTTCATTAGATTCCGATCCGTGTTTGAATGCACGTCCAGAAAAACTTGTTCATCAAAGAAAGAGAAGGAAAAACTTAACTTAGTCATTTTTGAGGGTTTGTCAATCCAGTTTAGCAAACTGTGGCCCTAAAAGAAACAGTCTTGACTACCTTTTCGCTTCAAGTGATTGACAACAAGGAGAGCTGATGTCCTGGAAGTTAGACATGTTAAAGATCAAGAGGGAACTACAGCGGATTTGTGAACTCTCTTTTTGAATTGTCGAGTAGTAATCTTAAGTTTAGACMTATTTTGGATTCGTCGAAGACCAAAGCAGCTGTATAAAAATTCAAGAGATATCGACTCAACTCCTGATCGAGATGACTGAAAACAGGAATTTGAAAAATCACTTAGGCTTCTGAAGACTGGCGAATTGTTCAAATTTATAAGGTAACTTAGCTTAAAAGAAAACGTCCATGTTTGTTGAAGAAGTTCAAGCATGTCAATTGATGTCTTTTTAGTCCTTTTTCATGGCTTATYTCGCTGATATATCTACAAATCTATCTAGAAAGTCTAGAGAAAGTTTGAATACGCCAATTTATCTAAGCTAGAAGGTATCAAACAATAAGATTTTAGAAAGTTTTATTTTTAAAGTTTGAAAAACATTTTGCAAAAATAGCGGCTAGGCATCTTGCTGAGTCAATTGTACTTTGAACTCTATCGTCGTGCAATTTTAAAAAGCATGCCAAAATCCTTTTTTCACAACTTATTTTCCCGCCTTGATCTAAGATATTCATCTTTGGTGTTTAATATGAGCTTAATGATAAANTAAGGTTATGATGCATTTAGGTGGGCAGTATCAAAGTGTCCATCAAGATAGCTTTGAGTAAAGAGTAAGGTTATGATGCATTTAGGTGGGCAGTATCAAAGTGTCCATCAAGATAGCTTTGAGTAAAGAGTAAGGTTATGATGCATTTAGGTGGGCAGTATCAAAGTGTCCATCAAGATAGCTTTGAGTAAAGAGTAAGGTTATGATGCATTTAGGTGGGCAGTATCAAAGTGTCCATCAAGATAGCTTTGAGTAAAGAGTAAGGTTATGATGCATTTAGGTGGGCAGTATCAAAGTGTCCATCAAGATAGCTTTGAGTAAAGAGTAAGGTTATGATGCATTTAGGTGGGCAGTATCAAAGTGTCCATCAAGATAGCTTTGAGTAAAGAGTAAGGTTATGATGCATTTAGGTGGGCAGTATCAAAGTGTCCATCAAGATAGCTTTGAGTAAAGAGTAAGGTTATGATGCATTTAGGTGGGCAGTATCAAAGTGTCCATCAAGATAGCTTTGAGTAAAGAGTAAGGTTATGATGCATTTAGGTGGGCAGTATCAAAGTGTCCATCAAGATAGCTTTGAGTAAAGAGTAAGGTTATGATGCATTTAGGTGGGCAGTATCAAAGTGTCCATCAAGATAGCTTTGAGTAAAGAGTAAGGTTATGATGCATTTAGGTGGGCAGTATCAAAGTGTCCATCAAGATAGCTTTGAGTAAAGAGTAAGGTTATGATGCATTTAGGTGGGCAGTATCAAAGTGTCCATCAAGATAGCTTTGAGTAAAGAGTAAGGTTATGATGCATTTAGGTGGGCAGTATCAAAGTGTCCATCAAGATAGCTTTGAGTAAAGAGTAAGGTTATGATGCATTTAGGTGGGCAGTATCAACGGTTATGACTCGTCAGAACCACGTACCGATATCCGACACTGAAAACATCAAAGCCCTTATTCCAATGTGGGATATGTGTAACCATAGTAACGGCAAGGTATGTATTACATTTGTTCATGTTCAGTTCTAAACATTGTAACATGCTGTATTATAGTGCAAGAGATGACGCAATTTAATGACAGCGACTTACCGATTTCAAAATATCGCAAATTGATAAGAAGAGCCATGATTTTATTTTTTTTCTGTTTGTTTCCACTTTTGGGTCGCTGCAAATGATAGTATGAATTGCTGCACAGGAAAACCGTTCGTTCATATGGTCTGTTTTCAAGGCATGCTACAATCGTTCGTTTATATGGTCTGTTCCAAGGCATGCTATAATAGTTCGTTTATATCGTCTGTTCCAAGGCATGCTATAATAGTTCGTTTATTCCAAGGCATGCTATAATAGTTCGTTTATTCCAAGGCATGCTATAATAGTTCGTTTGTATGGTCTGTTTTAGATAGAAACAGGATTTGATACAGAAGACAGCACTTGTAAGAGCTACGCTATTCGTTCTTTTGCAAAAGATGATCAGGTGTTGATATTCTATGGAAAGCGTAACAACGCTGATCTCTTGTTCCATAACGGATTTGTATTTCCCGACAACCAACACGACTATGTCAATCTTCATCTTGGTGTAAGCAAGAGTGATAAGYTGTACGCCATGAAAGCACAGATTATGGCCATGGTTGGATTGGATGCGTAAGTCACTAATATCGTTGTTKTGCTGACGTTCTTATAAAGAAAGGAATTCTAGTGCTCGAGATCATTGGCTCAAATATCTGTATTTTGAATATATCTTCATTCCGTATGATAACGTTTCATGTATAAGCGCTTTATTTCGAGCATTTCTAAKAGATAGTTGTTCTCTAAAGTTTGCAGATTCATTGACATTGATTTCTCACTGTATATRCTGTATCCTTCATATTTTGCGAGACTTCCTGCGTCCATTCTCGCAACAAYCACAATTGTTTCTAACAGAGAATGCAAACACGGAAAATACCTTGTAATGCTTTAAAAAATGAAAACWCTCTCCCTCCTGAAAGCAACACGTTTTTTTGCACGTCAACCAATCAATGCGCGCTTTATATATTAATTTCTAAAAGACTATCGAATTCATGGAGTCTCTTCATAGGTCCGCTCGGCCTTATCCTGTGTGCTGTGGTTCGAATCCGATTAGCCCCGAGCTGCTGACATTTCTACGAATATTCTCTATGGATCATGGTAATTATCATCCTTAACAGTACACATAATTATAAAGGTCCTACCTCATTATAGCCATTTTTTTTTGCTGCCAACTAGAATTGAGAAATAAGTTCTGACCAGAATCTTGACAATGATGCCCATTGCCCAACCCTCAAGAATCCTTTAAGCAACTCTAGAATCCTTTGCACGTCTAATTATAGCTAATTTAGATCTATCGATGTTTTAGATGAGTTAAAAATACGACTTTTTAATCCGGAGAGAAAGCAAGTCCTTCCCCTGTCAAACTTACCGAAACCCGAATCAGTTGTTAGCAACCAGAACGAAATTCGTCTGTGGAATTATTTGCATATGAGACTAGGCCTGATACTCGCCCAATACAAGACGACTATACAGGTTGGTTTTTACTTTAGTCATGTGACTCAGTTGTTTTTGACCATAAAAACGTTGTATAAGCCTTTTTTGACCTTAAGAACGTTTGCCAGGAACAAAATTATTTTAAAGAAGGAAGGACGTCACATTTTCTTGTGAGATTGTCAACAATATCAAAATCCCTTTCCCAGGGAAAAAATCGTGCAAGAATAGTTATTTAGAAGAACAGACCCCGTTGGATCCTCCCGAAATCTAATAAACAAATGGCTCTGCCTCATGCTCTTATGACTTTCCCAAGAACTGTGTTTGCTCTCTAGCACGACTTTACCATTGTAGCTAATTCAAGACAGTTGTCGACTAAAGTACAGTTTATTTATTGGTGTTCTTCATAGCCCTCGGGGCTGTATAACTATCTGACAAAGGGGAAATGTACGTTTTTAACTTGTATCTTGTCATATCATAGGAAGATGACGTACTTCTACAATCGAAAGAACTCACTACAAATGCTAAAAATTGTTTGTTACTTCGTATAACCGAACGAAGAATATTACAAAATGCACTGGGGTATGCTGAGGAGAAATTACAAGAAGCAAAGAAGAAGCTAGACGAAACAACTCCT